AGTGACTAGGCTATAAATATAATACTGAGCAAATAATTATAATACAGACTTTTATATAAAAAGTATCCTTCCATTACAATAAAGATTTAATTAAAAAAATTTTTCTTTTTCTTTTTTTTTTTTTCTGTTGTTAATCCTTACCTGAGGATATTTTTCCATTGATTTTTAGAGAGAGTGGAAAGGAGGGAGAGAGACAGAGGGAAACATGGATGTGAGAGAGAGACATTGATTGGTTGCCTCCCGCATGTGCCCCAACCAGGACCGGGGATCAAGCTGCACCCGCATGTGCTCTTGATTGGAATCAAGCCCAGGACCCTTCAGTCTGCGGGCTGACACTCAATCTACTGAACCAAATTGACTAGGGCAAAGATGTTTTCATTACAAAACCATTGAAGGTATTTTGAAGTACTCATTTCTTGGACTTTTCAAAAGTTTGTCCCCCTCCCCTCTCCAGCATATAATCTTCTTAGGACAGTAAAATCTCTTTCTGAGTTGGGTGAAAGAATGCATTCTCCACATTTTCTTCATATTAGAAAGTTTAAATACTTCTTTAATTTCTGGTATTTATCTGTGAGATGGCTTAATGCAGAAGACCTTCATTTTCGTGCTAAGATCATGAATCATCTTCCAGCTCTAATAGAGAGTTCAAAATAGTTCTATATGGGATGGATCAGGTTTCTGGGCCTGGGTTCTGTTACTATAAAGCTCTACAGCTCCCAAGTATGTAGCCATGGAGAGGGAAACAATGGCCTGCGAAGGGCCTTTTAACTCAGACAGGCTCAAGGCTAGATTTGGAGAAGGAGACTTTTGGCCTCTAGGGATACCCTTCTGGCTCTTGCACAGTTCACTATTTCTGATCAGGTATTCACTTCAGGTGTCTGTGGTCTATGGGTTTCCTCTGGCCTATACCACTGTTTAGTGAGCCGCTGATGCTGATGGTAGCATTTATCCAAAGGGAAGGGTGATGCCAGGATGGAAAACCATCACATGCTAGGTGTCTTAGTTTTCTTTTGGTACTTACATGCAGGTCTAGCTTGATTCAGACATCAAGCAGCTGCAGGGGATTGCCTAGGTTCAGCTACAAGTTCAAGTCACACGGTTTCTTTGTTCAAAATAGAATCCATCACTGTAAGGAAGTTCACTTGGGTAAATATGTTTTCCTTCCTGAGTTCGCCCAAGCTGTAAATTGACAAATCCATCAATGTGTGTCTTTTCCTTAATTAGCTTTCTTCACGTATATTCTTCTACATCCTAAAGCCCTTGATTTGAGTCAACCATTTCTTAGGGCTCTGCCATAGGAGCAATGAGTGAAACTAGAGGTTTGCCTTCTGCTGTTATCCTAAGACCCGTGGCTCTGTTTTGTTTGCTATTTCATCTAAACATTTCACTTGTTCAAAAACTTTTTGTTTCCTCCTGTCAATTTCTATTCAAAAGAAATACTTTAGGCATGTATAAAAGATGCTATCATTTCTTTGGAGATGCTAACTTTACTTTTTGCATTTGCCTATTTTTTTAGGTCATGGTATTATAATCTTTGGTATGTTTGATTAAGAGGCAGCCAGACCCCCAAACTGTGTTCTGAGTGAGAAGCAGCCACTCAGATCTTGAACTGAATAAATGATAATAAACCCGAGCCTTATGCTCCCTGAAAGATGTGCCTTGTAAGTTACATTTTCAAGAGACTTTTTTAAAATTAATGCTCACCTGAAATTATTTTTTCCATTGATTTTTAGAGAGAGTGGAAGGCAGGGAGGGGGAAAGAAAGAGAGAGAGAAACATCGATGTGTCTCTTCGATTGATTGCTTCCGTACATGTCCTGACTCAGGCCAGAGAACACACCTGCAACCAAGATAGATGCTCTTGACCAGGAATTGAACGCGAGACCCTCAGGTGTGCAGGCCAGTGCTGTTCACTGAGCATACTGGCCAGGGCTCCAGACATTATTTTGTTAAAATGTATTGCTGTGGTCTGCAGAAAGGAGGCCTTACAGCTGTGGCCTGTAATCTCCAGCTCCCTTTCAGTCAGCTTTGGATGTGTAGTTGCCTCGTGGGGGTATGTTCTCAAGTCAGCACCCAAGGCAGGAACTGCACATGACCACAAGGCTGTTAAGGGGCCCATAAGCGACAGTATGTGGACACACTGCTTCTCAGTGCAGTCAGCTTTCCTTCAGTGTTGGAGCAGCTTGATGTTCTTTGGTAAGACCCAGGTGATTTCAAGTGAAGTCAGATGACATTGCTTTGTTTTATAAAAAATACTTATCTTTTATATCTGGGATCACACTTTGTACCAAATATATGGATAGTCAAATTTATAACATATGTATGATATAAAAATCCACTGACTAAACGAGGATTTGGTTAACTAAGAGAGAAATGCTATGCTATATGAACCGGTTAGCTGGTTTGAAGCCTTGATTTCCAGCACGAAATCAAACAAGAGTGTGGGGCAGAGAGACTGAGGCTCAATGCCCATGGTGTGGTATTTAGGATCCTCTTAGGAGAGTCACGTTCATGGCTTGAAAACAATTTGGCTGGCATGGAGAAATCTTTGGAATTGGCAACAAAAACAAAACTTGTTATAATTTTGATACATGTAATTTTTTTGCTTTACTTTCCAACCACTCAGTGAGATGGACCTGGTTGGTATTATCGCATTCATAAATGAAGAGCCTGGCAGGGATGGGTTTAGCCAAACAGGCTGGTGCCACGAATGGAACAGAGAGGCCCTCGACCCTCCTGTGAGAAGGGGATTGGGGGAGCTGCCTGCCTCTCCCTGTCCCTGCTTTGGTCCTGCTGTGTCACAGCCAGTAAACCTTTGTCCACTCTTACTCTAGTTTCGAAATGTATATAGATAAGCGAGGTTGTCCTAGGATATTTATGAGGAATTCTGAGAGTGGATTAACTCCTTCAAATCATGTGGTGGTACATGGGGATACTAATTTGCTAAATAGTACCTTTGTGGTCTAAAGGAAATAATTAACTGCCCCGAGTGCCTACTTTCCATCAGCGAATTAATTACCCACCTATTTCTAGCTCAGTGTTTATTAGGCAAATTCACTGTTCCATCATTTTAGCCTCTATTTTAAATTTTGGGCTAAAGGCACTTTTAAAAGCTTTGTGGAAATTGTTAATTCTTATGAAATGGTACAGTCGAAAAACTTTATACAAAAAAGTGTTCTTGAAAGAAATGTAGAATGGGGACAGTTTCTCACTTGACCTGTCTGTTTCAATTTTTGGATAAACTCAGAAGACTGTCATGAAATTATTATTTTTTTCTATTTTGTTGACACCATGAGTAGCTTTCAGCATCTGACAATTTGCAGGTAATTTGTTTTTATAAGGAAGAAAGCTCAGCTGATAAAATTGTGTTGACAATGTGCTAAACATAGTTTTGATTATATTTTCTTAGTGAAAATTTGCTTAAAATCCATTAAGGATATACTTTTTAAAGGAGGATATACTTTCTTATAACCAGAAGGAACTTATACTCTCTTTCTTTTGCTAATGGTGAACATAATATGTGATTATTATAAATATGTTATTTCTTTTCAGGTTCCCATCCTTAGTAAAAAAGAAGATGTTTTTGCATATTTAGCTAAATATTCAGTGCCAATGGTTCGAGCAATGTGGCTTATCAAGATGACTTGTGCCTATTATTCTGCTATTTCTGAAGCTAAAATTAAGAAACGCCAGGCTCCTGATCCCAATTTGGGTGAGTGAGAGAGTATGATATGCTGCATGTTTCATTACTGCTTCTACACGCAGTTGCTGCTTGCACTCTCTGTACACAGTGCTGCAAGGTGAGTACTGAGCAGGTTCATGAGGCCAAAAGTCACTCATGGTGCGGGTGGAGAAGCTGGTCGTTGTCCACACACACCCAGGATCTTGATTCCATCAGTAGGTTCTAGGGATATTGCTTCAGATATGTCCTGCATCCGTACACTTCACCACCCTCTTTATGACTTTATAATAATTTCTTACTGCAATTAGGATGAACGCCATATTCGTTGCCATGGCATCGAGGCCATTTATGATTTAACCTCCCTTCCCAAGATGTTCCGGCCAGACTGCTGTCCCTCTGTCCTCACTCCTGCCATGCTCCATCCTTTCTCAGGGCTTCTGCATTTTCTCCTCCTGGTACTTGGGTTGCTCTTTAGGGTATTTGCATCCCTCCTCCTCTTCACTGAGGCTTTGGCTCAAACGTCATTTCCTCAGCAGGATTTCTCTGGACACCTGGCTAATAGCATTTCCTCTCTCTCCCCTTCCTCCCAGTTACAGTCTCAAGTGTTCTTACTTTATCCATAGCACGCTTCACTGTCTGAAATTTTCTTTAAAAGTTTTGCGCCTGTCCCCCCCCCCCCTCCCCACTTCCCACGCACGCACACAGCACACATACTGGCTCATGACAGGTGTTTACTGAATGAACTGAAGGTAGGGCATTTCTAGTGAGAGTCTTCACTCTTCGGTGACTAGTCAGTGACTCCTTGAGGTGATGCTGAAGCGAGCTTTCTAACAGGCTTGATACTGCACTAGAAATGTGCACAGGGAATTGTACATGATGATGTCCATTTCAAAATTAAGTATTCAAATAATTCTTTATGAAATTAAAACATGTTGTTTATGATTGTGTAAAGGAGACCCAGCTGTGAAGCTTTCAGGGGCAGGGGCAGAAAGCACATGCTCTCAGATGCCAGGCAGGTGGGCTGTGAAGTGGTTGTAAAAGCATAAAAGCATACATCCAAAACAAACAAAAAATGCATTTATGGTTGTCCTTTTGAGTTCAGTGTATCTTGTGTGTTAAAACAAATAAGCAAAACTAAACTGCACTTAAAACAGGGGTGGGCAAACTTTTTGACTCGAGGGCCACAATGGGTTCTTAAACTGGACCGGAGGACTGGAACAAAAGCATGGATGGAGTGTTTGTGTGAACTAATATAAATTCAAAGTAAACATCATTACATAAAAGGGTACAGTCTTTTTTTTCCAATAGTTTTATTCATTTCAAATGGGCCGGATCCGGCCCGTGGGCCGTAGTTTGCCCACGGCTGACTTAAAACATCACTGCATGTATGTGCATGTGTGTGCATGTGTGTGTGTGTGTGTGTCCAGGGGAAAAGAGCTGGGAGGAAATTACCCACAATTAATGTGCTTGTCTTTGAGTGCTGTCTCAACCTTATATTACTTCTGCACTTCTGACTTGAATATTTTTCATTAGCTTATTATTTTATTGAGGGAAACAAAAGAAATGCTGCCTTTTTATACTAAAGTAATCTATATAATAAAAGCCTAAGTGACTGTTACGGCGGATCGACCAGAACGACCAGTCACTATGATGTGCACTGACCACCAGGGGGCAGATGCTCAATGCAGGAGCTGTTCCCTGGTGGTCAGGGTGCTCCCACAGGGGAAGCGCTGCTCAGCCAGAAGCTGGGCTCATGGCTGGCTCTGCGGCAGCCCTAAGGAGCAGTGAGCCAAGTGGTAAGGAGCAGCGTGCAGGTGGGCTGTAAGGAGCAAGGGGTCCCAGACTGTGAGAGGGATGTCCTATTGCTGGCTTAGGCCCGCTCCCTGTGGGAACGGGCCTAAGCCAACAGGTGGACATCCCTGAGGGGGTCCCGGACTGCGAGAGGTTGCAGGCTGGGCTGAGGGACATCCTCCCCCCCATACACGAATTTCGTGCACCAGCCCTCTAGTACATTCTCATAATGGTATTTTCAAATGGTGTTGACGTAGATACAGTATTCAAGTTTCTCTCTCCCTTCTCTGTGTTTCCCTTCTTGAATTTTCCTTCATTCATTGTGTGTATGTACACACACATCACACAAACATGTAGGCAGTTCTTCTTTATATATCTGCATCTCCATATCTATTGCACTTATTAATGCTTCTCCCCAGAGCCTGCACATCTGGTGACTCACTGCTCACCTCTGCTTTGATGACTAACAGACATCTTAAACCTAATGTGTATCAAACTCTTGACTTCTCGCCATCAGCACTCTTGCTCCTTCCTCAGGCTTTTCCTCCTCAGCCAATGTACATGTGTCCCTGGGTGGATGAAGGTAAGAGCCATATTGTTATCCTGGGCTTTTATCGTTCAAAACACTGCATTCAGTCCCTCAGCAATCCTGTCAGCTTTTCTTTCAAAATAGAATCGGAATCTGACAATGTCGTCCTCAGCCCCTGTGGCTACTGCTCTGGCCCCAACCCCACAACCCCTGTGCCTGTGCCATTGCGGGGCTTCCAGCTGATCTTGTGTTTGTTCTTCTCTAATGACAGCTTTCTGCTTTGTAGCTAAGACATAAATGATTCCATACTTGGAATCCTCTCATGGGTCCTTCTCTCACTCAGATGTCTATGTCAGCCGACACCAGCGGTCCACACGTGACTATCACCTCAGGCCGTGACCCGGGGGTACCTCTCTCCCTCCCACCTCCAAGGTGTCCACCTGCCTGCTCCCCCATTGCTGTCAGCTCACATGGCACTTCCGTAGAGAAGCCTTCTCAGACCTCACTATCTCCTGTCACTTCATTGTCTTGGTTTCTTTTTGTCATAGCTGTTAATACCACCTCATGTTATATTTTAAATTAATTTAGGGTCACTAATCTGCAGCTATGATGGTTCTCCATGAGAAATGTCAGATTGGTTGAGTGTTGGATCTCCAGGATGGTGTCTGGCATGCAGATGGTGCTCAGTAATTTTTAAGATAGTAAATGAATACTTAGACCTGAAGCATTTATGTGTCTGTGTATATCTTTATTTTTCCATTTGCCCCAATTCATAATCCTGGAAACTTCCAGCATCACCAGCTATAATGGAGAGCCTCCTCCTCCTCTATCCCTTAGATTCTCTTCATATTTTTTTGTAACTTGTTCCTGCCAGTGTTTTCCTTAATGTTTAATTTAATCTCATTTAACTGTCACAGAAAGGCAAAAAAAGATGATCATGCAGAAATGATTCTGCCAAATGAAACATAAAACAAGTTTAGAACAAATAAAAGTTTGATAGATCCTCATCATTTGTGAAGAACATGTAGTTGGGGTTTTTAGGAATCTCTCTCTATATAAAAGCCTAAGCGACCGAACGACCAGTTGACCAGCTGCTATGACACCACCATGGGGAAGACGCTCAATGCAGGTGCTGCCCCTTGGTGGTCAGTGCGCTCCCATAGCCAACCTCCCTTGGGAGTGAACCCACCCATGCATGAATTTGTGTACCAGGCCTCTAGTTTCAGATAAGAGTGTATCACCAGGACCATATGATTTCCTCTACCATATAAGAGGAGGGAAGCCTGGTTCCAATTTCTTGTTAAGAGCATCATGGAATTTTTGTTTTATTCATTACATTTACCATTCTTTTTTTTTTAATTATTTTTTTAAATCCTCACCTGAGGATATTTTTCCATTTATTTTAGAGAGAGTGGAAGAGAGAGAGAAAGACAGAGAGAAACATCGATGTGAGAGAAACACATCAATTGGTTGCCTCCTGTACACGCCCTGACCAGGGCTCAGGCTGGGGAGGAGCCTGCAACCAAGGAAGTGCCCTTCACCGGAATCTAACCCGGAACCCTTCGGTCTGCAGGCCTATGCTCTATCGACTAAGCCAAATCGGCTAGGTAGTCCTCTCAACCTTGACCCACAATCTGTGTTCCCTTTAATTGTCATGCCTTTTAAAATCTGGAGCAGTTCTTCCACCTTTCTTTTTCTTGACCTTGAGGTTTTTGGGGAGGACAGGCCAGTTATTTTCTAGACCAGCCGTGGGCAAACTACGGCCCACGGGCCGGATCCGGCCCATTTGAAATGAATAAAACTAAAAAAAAAAAAGACAGTACCCTTTTATGTAATGATGTTTACTTTGAATTTCTATTAGTTCACACAAACACTCTATCCATGCTTTTGTTCCGGCCCTCCGGTCCAGTTTAAGAACCCATTGTGGCCCTGGAGTCAAAAAGTTTGCCCACCACCGTTCTAGACTGTACCTGGATTTGCACTTGTCTAGCTCCTTGAGATTAGATCAGGCGATCTAATCCACTTTTGGTGGATGCCAGGAAGCAGTGTTGTTGCAGTTTATCCTATCGCATTGTCTCCATACTGTTGGGATACTTTGATCATTTGGGTAAAGCGGTGCCTACCGGATTTGTCCGATGCAAAGTTACTATTTTATGCTTTGTAATTAATAGATAATTTAATTCTGTAAATGTCCAATTTATCTCTATTCTGACATGAATTTTTAAAGTGCAGATGTAACATACTATTTATACTATATGAAAAGAGCATGTTTCAAACATCTCATATTGGTTTAATGTCAGCCTGCTCCACCTGGTAACCTCTTACTTTCTGCTTTGTCTTCAACGCCTTCCTTAGCTTCGTGAAGCAGATTATACAGTACATGTGAAAGCATTTGGCTGTGGAGGCAGAGCCATAAAGTAGCAGATTTATGCTACTTTTCACAGTCCACGCAGGCCATACAGCCAGCAAGTGCACACATATATATGTGTTGAACTGGATTAAGTTGCACACATCTCGCAAGTTTAACTTTCAGTAATAGGTTCTGTGTTCTCGCTTTGATAGAGGAAAGAATCATTCAGCACATTCGGGGTGAGATTCACTATCAGGTGTCACCCTTTTCTGGGGTTGGTTCTATGACTGCTTTGTCTTGATGGTTGTTCTTTGTGAAGTTTTTTTAATAGACATGGCCTTCATTGCTTTGTAATGGAAA